CMRGGTGTGTAGGTRGCATYAACCTGCTCGCTGCATAAAAAAAAGTTGATTTCCGAACTGCGTCTTCCGCCCGAGTAAGGTGAACAAGGGGGCGTCGGGCACGCTCGGCGAGTCATGTCWGTTCAGTCTTCCCCAACGTCCCTATTATCAAGTCGCCTATCGGTGCCCACGCCGCGCTCGTGAAGCCCCCTTTCGCTTTCTGTCGAACTGTTACTTACTCCCTCTCTCCTTGATCACTCACTTTAGTTTTATTGCTCCACGACTGCTATCTCTCATTTGAATGCACCTGCTCGTTTTCTGCGCCAGGTGCAATCAAATAAAATATGAAAAACAACAACACATTCCAGTTTGCTTCTCCTCAGTCGCTCTTCCACCTCACTGACCAGTCCGCCTGATAGCGCGCAGAGAAAACCCGGCATGTGCCAGTCTGCTGTCGTGGGCTAAGTACCCCCCTGCACACGCCCGAATCGCAACGCGTTGATCTTGCCTGCGCTCAACGTGGATGTGGGCTGTGTACACCTGGCATACCTCCAAGTCTGCGTAGTCCCCCTCTCCCCTGTTCTCTCGTGGTCTTGCCCTATATCCCCTCTCGGACGCAGCCCCCACCAGGTCAACTCTGGTCCTCAGCGGTACCTCTTCATTGCTGAGGGCTCGCACTTTCTGTACCCCAGGTACCAAGCCCAGCACCCAGGCTATAAGAGGACTGCAGTCCTTGGCCATGGACTGCTGGAAAACCCAGGCCCAAAGACCGAGCTCAGAGGGGGCCTAGTCGGTACGAGCGGCCCGCAGAGAAAAGAGATTCACAACCCTTAGTTGAAGGCCTTTTCCCAGGGTCCATAAAAAAACAGCACCGCACCTCAGAATTACCAGGTTCGGTCTCAGCATCCYAAACGCATTAGTCAGGTCAGCAGCAGTTCCGAACCTGGAGCATGTGTCGCAGGCTGCGGTCGTCTGTWCCGTCACCACATCGAAGTTAGACTTGTAGTTACATCAAAATTAGTTATCTTTAAGGCTCAGCGGACCGGAGCCGCCTCAACCAATGTTAGGTTCCGTGCCGAGCAGCAAGTATGTSCCACCAKCATCAKTACAAGAGTACTGTAGCACARCCCYWATGTCACACCAAGCACCACACGTGTCATTCCCATACCGGAACTGTTACCGACTGTGTGACGGCTCTGCAGCCACTASCATCWGCCTACTGTCATCCAGCACTAGTGAATAAAAGTTGTTYCTTACTCAATGCCTTAGCAGCTCCCTCCAACCAATGATCGTGTGTACGTTGATTCAACGCCAACCCGTGAAACAACCGCCTCGAACTGCTGTGGCCYGTGTCATTTCGCTCTAATCCTTTGGAGTCGTAGCTTATATCGTCGTCGAACCGCATCTGATACCGAACCAAACCCGAATAARTGACAACCGTACCGTGCCGATACCGTGCCCATGCCGTACCTGAGGATGTCGGTGYCGGGCCAAAACCAAACCTRGAGATGACGCAGTGGCGTGTACCACCCCRTTGCCGAGCCAATACCGGGTCCGAAACCGGTCCAATGTCGCACAGTGCCGTAGCCCCATGATAGTAYCGAGCCATTACCATACCAATAYCGAGGCTGAGTTAACCTTTYTGTACCACAGCAGCCCATACCGGACCAATGTCGAACCTGAAATAGTCAATCGRAGTYGCTGCAGCCTGTACCATACCGAAGCAGAATCTGAAATAAACATCCGGGGTCGCCGTGACCCGTGCCGTGTCAATGTCGAACCARTACCGAACCTAAACATGATACSGTGAAGTGTACCATACCGATACCGAACCAACCAGAACTAASARCGAACCTAAAAACACGTAAGWTGTCGTACAATACCGCGGTCTCGTGACAGCTCCGATCTTCTCCCAAACCAGATATCCGAACCGGAGTAGCGGCCACACCGACGCGATGAAGCCGATCGGAGAAAGTAGCATGGCGATAACACCACATCGTTCGTCCACTCCGCACTCATAGCACACAGTTAGCGGTAAGGTTAGAAATCAGGGATGCGTGTAAATCTCAATCATCGCAAAATAGCGGAAACCGTCAGGATTAGAATGAAGAAATAATCCAAGGCTAATTTCGATCGCGGATAAACGGAGCGAAATTACGTCAATTAGTTAACAATCTTGGCTTTTCTCCCATCTTTTCCTATTTAATTGCTTCTCCTACTTCTTGATTTACTTATCAAAAATATCGAGAATAAAGGCGAATCCATCAAAAACAACTCCCGGTGGAATCCAATTAGATAACGAAAATTCTTTGTTGATTATTTTTCATGTTTTTAATTTTTATTGTCAGAAAAATCAATAATTTAGGATGTTCATATCAAAAGTTAATCATCGAAGATTTTAAATAAACCAATAAATATTTCGCTTTTTTCTTGTCTTCTTTTATCTTTAATTCTTTTTTCCATTTTTAATTTGGATATTAAATTTAACTAAATGTTTGAGGCTTCATTTCAGCCCCGCTCGCGCCTGGTGCGGTCACTCATCTCGTCGTCTTTAAGGGTTGCTTGAAAAGTTCAGCGTGCCCAAAATCAGGGGTGCCCTAAGCTCCCCTAACTTTCGCTGCCTGGTCTACCCGGAGCACCGTCAAAACACGGACTTGTCTTTGAACACAAGACCCAAGACCCCAGATTTCAGGTGGCGCACTGCTTGTGGCCGCCTGACAGTTAGCCCGGACCACTTCTCGACGCCCCCGTCGAGCCCTATCCACTTACGTCAGACGAAGCGGACGAGTTTCAGGGTGATGGCCGGTAAAGGACGCCCACGCCGGCGTTCAATTGTCTTATGTTTCAGTTTGTTTTGAGTTCTAGAAATAAGTAGATGTTTTTTTACTTTCCTTCCCCGCCGGGTTCTCGAACTTGGTAGGATCCTCTTTTTTTTCTGTCGTTGGCCCGATAAGGGTGCCGTCCCCCCAGTTTGTCTAATGCGGACTCTCCGTTTGACCCTCTTGAGCACGAATAACCATTTCTTCTTTCTTCCTAGAGCTAACCCTTTGACCTTTCTTTTCTCTACTCTTTTTCTCTTCTTGGAGCTTTCGCCTGCCTCGAATCGTCTCAGGGGATCTCCATCCTCTATCTTAGCCTTCCCCTTTTCTTTGGGGCCCGTCCGCGATATGGTGGGTGCAGGCCTGGGCTTAAACAGCCTTAACCTAGCGCCCGCCACTGGGTCCTTCCACTTAGATCCATCCAATTCTGCTATCATATATGCGCCCCAGTCGAGTGCCTCAACTACTCTGTAAGGTCGCATCCATCTATTTGCGAGTTTTCCGGTCCATGTCCTTTCCAGCGCTGCATCGTAGAGAAGGACCATATCTCCTAAGCTCACCCTCTCCTTCCTAATTCTGACGTTCTTATCCCATCTCTCTTTACCTTTGTCTCTTTCCACTGCCAAACGATCTGCCGCTGTCATAAGGTTATCTTCCAAACCGTAGGCTATTTGTCTTGTTCGGGCAGCTATGAGTTCCTCTCTGAACATCTCTTCCGCCCAGCCGACGGTTGTCCAGCTGTCGATGTGAAACTCTATGGGAAGAGGACAATGCCGCCCAAACCACAAGGTGTATGGAGGGTATCTTGTGCTAACCCGGACCGTGACGTTGTCCGCCCATATTGCGTATCGAAAATATCGTGGCCAATCACTGTCCTTGCCTTTGCACCACTTAGATAGTGACGCTATCAGGGTCTGGTGCCCTCTCTCTACTGGGGAGTTCGACTGTGGGTGGTAGGCAGTGGCTATCGAAACTCTCGCCCCAGCTCTCTTGAATACATTCTGAACCTCGTCAGCCAGGAATTCCGCTCCTCTGTCCATCACTATCTTGCTGACACAACCATACCTAGATAAGTACTCTAGGACAAAGTTCTTCACTTCCCTTGCCGTCTTACTCCTGATAGGTCTACAGTCTACGAACCCCGTGAAGTCGTCTCGTATGTTCACAACATAGTTCATATTGCCTACCCCTTTCGGCATCCTCACCAGATCGATGTGTACCTTCTCTCCTGGTCGGGTTGGATAGGATGGATGAAGTGGCTCTTTGTATTTCACAAGAGCTCTCTTTCTCGACGTCCTTATACTGCCCTTCCCACCAGTACAACCTGCGTACCTTTTCATACGTCCCTCTGAGTCCTCTATGTCCTCCGACCACCCCGTCGTGAAGCTCCGCTACTATCGTCTGTCTCTCTTCAGGATCGCAGACAACACGTAAGGGCATCCCCGACCCTACTGGCCTTCGGAAAAGGTGGCCCGCTCTAAGGCAGTACTGGGCTGCTTGTCTCCGGATATCTAAATCTTGACTCTCCTCTCCCGTCAGGTGTAGCCCGATCGTTCGGTACTTG